AGGTGTTGTCATTTGTTTTGTAATATAATCTTCATCTGCATGGAACTACCGATGTCAGATGAATACACATGTCTGTGTGCAGTAACCTGTAGAGGATAGAGGAAGTGCATGATGCTTTTAAGGCTTTTTCACAGAGCTTAATCCTGGCTGCAGATCAGATGACCTCCAGTGACATTAACTCACTCCAGAGAGATTCCTCCTGCTAATGAGAGCTTCAGCACTGTAACACTCGTCATTCAACCCAGTCTCACTGCTTTTCGTGTTATAGTCACGACATTTAATCTATTGATTCGTGTTCACCAACACGATTTTCCCCTTTTTTTCGTGTCACACAGAACGATTTTAAAAGCAATGTATTTCTATTGGTAGTATGTTTCGTGCCTGCAACACGTCTTTTTCTCCGTTCGGCTCTTGGAAGACCGGAAGCTGTGGGGTTCATAAAAACATGTTCTTACTCAATATCAAGCCACGATCATTGTTTTTATTTTAAATCGTATAATGCCGGCCTTTTTTTGTCGTCTGTGAGGAAAATAAATGGGGCTCAGAGCCTCAGGATACTGAAATCTGTATTTTTTTAAATCTTTTTTTCCTTCTAATTTGTTATTCTTTTCTAAATAACACACTGTTATTTACTCACCAATAACACACAATTATCCTTGTTTTTATTTATTTGTTTAATTCTATAATAATATAATTTGTTGGCGTCCGTCAGGAACTGAATTTCAAAATAAAATAACCGGAAACAGACATCATTGCGATACACACCCACTGAACTGATTACCCAAGATCCTCAGCTATGGTTTAAGCTTGGTGATTGGATGTTTTAGCCGCAATGCACGTTGGGATATGGTATTAATGCAATATGAAATCCGAAAAACATTTCGGAGTTTAGGATGGCCGAAGACACTACACTACCCATAATCCCCAGCTATCGTTTAGGACTACAGTCCCCGTGATTAATCTTCAAGCTCTGGGATTGGATGTTGGAGTGGCAGTGCGCCAAGGTTACGCTGAGCGTCAAACAGCTGTTTGAAATGGAACGAAACCATGGCAGACTATTCAAAACTGGAATCGAACGGGACCAGCCCCCCCCCCCCCCAGAACTACACATGCTGGCTATTGTGTTTCGCAACATGTACTATGGGACGTCTCTACTGGGAACGTTTTCGTTTTTCCCACAATTAGAAGTTGCCAGTATTACATTTAAAACATATAATTACTAAATGGGTGAACATCGCTTGTAGCCATAATGGGCAGCATTACCAACCCAGTCTGTATTTCATGATCCGCAAAATTATTCACACTTGTATTTCCGGATCCACACTTGTGTTTGTCAATGCACACTCAAATGTGTTCCGTTTCATATACATGTAAATAAAATCAAAATACAGAAAAAAGTTTTACATATGTATTTTTGATCCTCACATATTTGTTTTCCGTTTAAATCCCCTGAACCTGCAAACACAAACCACTTTCTGTGCATGGATCGCTGTGCATTCGTGTGTGGGTTTTTTGAGACTCCCCTGACGGTCAGCAGATTCGTAATTGTAATTTGTTCTATCTATAGCCAATCAGATGTCTCCTCCATTCTACAGTAAGCCAATCACATGAGCGCGCCCTCACGAGGGTATGATTTATTGCGTTCATGACACTTTGGCCCATTCCCAAACCGCCGTCCCAAAGCTTGCCGCTGTATTTACTCCCTCCATCTGACAGGAGGAGCCTCGTTGAGCTGCGAGTGTGGCTACAGACGGAGTTCACTCCATCACGGAGGGGTAGGGTCGAGGGAGTGGTTTGGGATTGGGCCTTCATGTACGCATTTTGCGCTGTCCGGTCAGCTCGCTAAACAGAGGGCGGAGCATCAGGTGATTATGCAGAGCTGCGTGTCTCCGTCAGACTCAGCAGCTGATCTGATCTCTCTCTCGCGTCCAGTTACACTTCACTCTCGTTTATGTCCATATCGATCAGATCCAGCTCTCCTGATCGGCCTTTATAGAGAGCACCGATCAAAATATTAAGAGTGAATCGGCCGATAATGACCGGCGGGACTCCCCCCATTGACAGTTCACTGTCTAGCACTGGCTTCGTAGTGCACTGATCGATTAGGCTAAGATAACCTGTAGCTGCTCCCTCCACACTCACAACAACTTCATACAGACAGAGCCGGCCCGACCCATTAAGCGACATAAGCGACCGCTTACCCCCTAATCCCACCAGGAGCGTCTGCGCTGCGTTGCGCTGCGTTGCGCTGCGTTGCGCTGCGTTGCGCTGCGGCTGCGGCATTTTTAGCGATCGCGGCCACTCTAGTCAATGGGTGCTATTCCACCAGACCCGGCTCGAAGCGTCCCAGAAGCTCCTCGCCGCAAGGAATTTCTAAAATACAGGATGAATCCTATTTTTGACGCGGCGCAGGCAGGAAGTGGAACGTTCATCCAACAACTGCGAGGCTGCACACACGACGCTCCGCTTCCGCAATGTTTTGAAACGCGCCTGGTGGGTTATGACGCAGGAGGAGGTCACAGCGCGGCGCAGCCGCAGCGCAGACGCTTCCGGTGGGATCAGGGGGTTAGGGCCCCGCAGCCACTAAGCAATAAAAAAAATAATCTCAGTACACCGTCGCCGTGATAAGTATGTTTAATTAATTGTGTTAATATGCCTGGATTGCCTACTCTCAAAGTCATGTATTATATTATTGAGTCAATAATATAATACATTAACCGTGCTTTACCTGAACCTCATCATGACACAAGAGAGGACGGCACGATTGTAATTTCCCGTGTTCAGTGAATGCAACAGAGGCAAGACACCAGACCAACCAGAGAGTTGAATGGAAATAAACATCTGTCTTATTGGCTGAAAGGTATACCTATCCTGTGAGCTGTGACAATGTTTAAAATAAACTGTCAGTCGGACTCAGAGTTTTTGAAGATGGACACAAGAAAACATTTTCTTAACAAATACGACAATTCTCAAGTGGTGGCTCACAACCCCAGAGCCACCACTTGAGCCAGGTAAACAAGGTATGTAAATGTCGGTAAACTTCCAAGTTATGCGAACATGTAAGCAAAGCATAAATTACAGCTACGTTGACGTTACTTTGAATCACGGGGTAAGCTAAACCGTTAGCAAGTAGCTATAGCTAGCCAGATATATTAAATAAACACTTTGTCATACAATCTAATTGTAATGTTTTTTAGCGTTATCTGGTGATTTCAAAGAAAGCTCCCTGGGAAATGTTGACTTACTGTTCAACATGAAGCTAGAAGCTGCCTTACAGTACACAGTTGATCCGGAGTCCTGTCAGTTCAGGTGTTTCATAGTTAGCTTAGCTAAGCATCAACCTAGCACTGAAATATATGGATATTATGTGACAGTATTTCTGAGAAAAAGTCAGCTGAAATGGTGGCATAGTTGCCACTGCTTTACGTGTCAACAGCATGTTTGAACATATTTGCAGCAGTAAATGTGGCTGTTTGGCCACTGACGTTGCCATAACAACACCTGAATTTAAATGTGCAACCTCTTTTTGTGACAGATTTTTGCAAGAAATTATAATTCTTCTGAATGATATTCCTATTGACAGCTAGTTTCTATGTGAACATTATGAGATGGACAGCCAGAGAGAATAAATGAAAAACAGTTATGAAATACTATATGACAAAACAAGAATACAGTTTAAGTGATTTGTAAAATATCCATAAAGAAAAATCTGTTTACAGTTCTGTTTCATATGGGTGTTGAGAGATGTATCCATAGATCTCTTAATTTTGCTCTCAAAGTGCACCAGATTGATGCTTTTAACTTCAATATTTAAAAGAAAAATCTTTCCGGGGGAGCATACCCCCGGACCCCCCTAGAGGAGGCTAGGTTCACAGTGTTTACATGCTTATTCATACAATATGTATGCTTATGCTAACATCATAAGACAAAAGTTGGTTCCGTGTTGTGTGTAGTGAGAACGCGCTAGAGTGAGGGGGGCCCCCAAGCCAAAGCTCACTTAGGGCCCCCAAAAGTCTAGGGCCGGCCCTGCATACAGACATAAATAAAGCAGCTGTATTCGCCATACAGGAAACACACATTTAAAACGGTTTTGCCTGCCGTTTTTGTGTACACAAGCATTCATCAATGGTTCGGAAAGTGGCGCTGTACCTTAATAATATAAAGGCTTGTATTTGCGTGCATTTCCTGTTCGGAAAGTGGCAATGTACTGAGAGTGGAGGTGTCCTGAGATTAGCGCCTGCAGGCAGGCTCCATGGGCCTGTCAGCTCCGGACGGCGCAAAATGCGTAGTCATGAACGCAAGAAGTCTATCAAAAATACATAAGTAACATTTTATTTACATGTATATGAAACGGAACACATTTGAGTGTGCATTGACATATGCAAGTGTGAATCCTTTTGCGGATCATGAAATACAAGTGTGAATCCTTCTGTGTGCATGTGTGTATTATGAGACTGTTCTGAGCCCATAATTCTTCTTCTATATTCTTAATAATAAAATAATAAAGTAATAATAATAAAAGTGAATAGTCCACAATATGTCAGAGCTGGTATTTGAATTATACAGTTTTTCCATTATATTTGTAATTCTGGATGTTTAAAGACAGCCTTCAAAATAAGCAGACATTTTAACAATGAACAACGATTTTTTTGCAAACAATCTCCTCAACCGATGTAGACATGGTAACAAATATTTCCCATAATATAAGAAAGTTACTTGTTAACAAAGTGCCTTGCATGTGAGTTAGTATAACACCAGTGGTCAGTAGTGATGTCTAGTAAGGAGCTCTAGAAGAAGAACACTAAAGCAGTATATCTTTATGGCCAGGGGTGCACATAACTGGTACGCAGGTACGCATGCGCGGCAACAATCTGAAATGCGTACCATCACTTGTGTCACAAAGCGCATTTGAGTACCGACGTAGCCTACTTGTGAAGCTTTTCCGGAAGGCGGTTAGATCACCGGACGACAGAGTCGTGCACCCCTGTTTATGGCCTTACCTTGTACCACGAGTCGACCGAGGGCAGTACGCCTCATCCTGGTGCCGGGCCGATTGGCAGCACACACATACACCCCGGAGTGCTGCAGGGAAACATCTGAGATCATCAGGTTCCCAGTTCCCAGGACCTGGATCCCCTCCACCCCGATGGAGCGCCCGTCTGATGGAGACACCAACGATGTTTGTTTAATAAAAGCTGTTATTACCTAATCTTGCTTATATTCCTCTACACACTCTATTATAAATGTCCAATGGTACCTAGCCTGCTCCAGGAAACAATGGGCCTGGGGTTTCCTGAGGCGATGCACTCCAAGATGGCCGTCTGATGGACAGTGATGGTCAGATTCTGGGGTCCGGACAGGATGAACGGCTCTTTGTAGGTTCGGGGAGCCCCACCTGGAATATAGGAAAAACAAAGAGTGAATATAGAGAATTCAGTTAAGGAATCTTTGTTGACTGTTGTAGAGGAATATCTGAAGTTGTACTGACCAGAGATGGGGTCGTTACTAAAAAAAAGTAATATATTACATATTACATATTACTTTAAAAAAAAGTAATATATTACACTACTTCGTTACTCTCTACATAAAGTAACTCGTTACTTTACTCGTTACTTTACTCGTTACTTTACTCGTTACTTTACTCGTTACTTTACTCGCAGGGCCGGCCCGCCCCTCCCTACAGGCAGATCACGCAGACTGCGGCGCACCTACAGTGTGCGCGCCACAGTTTTGCCTCTGCGAGACTCCACTTGCACCCCCAATTACTATTGCATTAAGGAAGACATAACACAAGTCTTTCTTTTGATATGCTCTAAAATAGGCTACCAGCCACACAACAAGCTAACAGTCTGTGAAACGTCAAGACACTAATTAATGAAACCAGTTCAACACGCATTATTCGTATCATTCTTTATGAGCGCAGTAACGGTAAGGTATCTAATTACTTATGTATTTAGTATTCCATAACTTAGTAACAGAGATGGTCAAACTAAAGTGGTAGAGACATGGCAGAATTCCTACAATGAAGCGGGACATTGAACTGTTCACCCGTGAGAGGGCGATCAACAAAAGAGAGCGAGCGGCCCCGTTGAGGGAGTTTACAGATGCCATGTTTATGCAGCACTGCACGCGGAGATGTGGTCTCGCAAGTCGCGCAGATTACATAGGCCTACATGTATATAAACCTGCGGCGGAAACCCCTCTAGTCTGTCAGTGAGTGTGATTATTTATTTATTATTATTTATTTATTATTTATTTGATATATTATTACTTTGTAACGCGTTACACCCAACTCTGGTACTGACAATCCATTCTAAGATTTATTGCAGTGTTACACAGTGTACTTTTACTGTTTATTACTTGATTCTGATTGGTCAATTTGGATATTTAGTGAACTGCTCTTTTTTCGATAATATACTGTTGCTAAGGACGCTCTGATCACGGGACTATGTGCAGTTATATCAATATCAATCAATTTTTCTTTCTCAGAAAACACCATGGAATACTTTGGATTCATGATGGCTAAACTGTCCCCAGAAAAATAAAAGAAAAAGAGAAAAAGAGGTGGAAAGAGGTTAAAAGACAGAGAGTGCTGGACAACAACAAAAAGAAGACAGACAGGAAGTAAACACTAAAGGGAACAGCAGAAGAAGACAGACAGGAAGTAAACACTAAAGGGAACAGCAGAAGAAGACAGACAGGAAGTAAACACTAAAGGGAACAGCAGAAGAAGACAGACAGGAAGTAAGCACTAAAGGGAACAGCAGAAGAAGACCAACAGGAAGTAAACACTAAAGGGAACAGCAGAAGAAGACAGACAGGAAGTGAACACTAAAGGGAACAGCAGAAGAAGACAGACAGGAAGTAAGCACTAAAGGGAACAGCAGAAGAAGACCAACAGGAAGTAAACACTAAAGGGAACAGCAGAAGAAGACATACAGGAAGTAAACACTAAAGGGAACAGCATAATAAGACAGATAGGAAGTAAACACTAAAGGGAAGAGCAGAAGAAGAGAGACAGGAAGTAAACACTGAAGGGAACATCAGAAGAAGACAGACAGGATGTAAACACTAAAGGGAACAGCATAATAAGACATACAGGAGGTAAACACTAAAGGGAACAGCAGAAGAAGACAGTCAGGAAGTAAACACTAAAGGGAACAGCAGAAGAAGACAGACAGGAAGTAAACACTAAAGGGAACAGCAGAAGAAGACAGCCAGGAAGTAAACACTAAAGGGAACAGCAGAATAAGACAGACAGGAAGTAAACACTAAAGGGAACAGCAGAATAACACAGACAGGAAGTAAAAACCAAAGGGAACAGCAGAAGAAGACAGGCAGGAAGTAAACACTAAAGGGAACAGCAGAAGAAGACAGACAGGAAGTGAACACTAAAGGGAACAGCAGAAGAAGACAGACAGGAAGTAAGCACTAAAGGGAACAGCAGAAGAAGACCAACAGGAAGTAAACACTAAAGGGAACAGCAGAAGAAGACAGACAGGAAGTAAACACTAAAGGGAACAGCAGACGAAGACAGACAGGAAGTAAACACTAAAGGGAACAGCAGAAGAAGACATACAGGAAGTAAACACTAAAGGGAACAGCAGAATAAGACAGACAGGAAGTAAACACTAAAGGGAACAGCAGAATAAGACAGACAGGAAGGAAACACTAAAGGGAACATCAGAAGAAGACAGACAGGATGTAAACACTAAAGGGAACAGCAGAATAAGACAGACAGGAAATAAACACTAAAGGGAACAGCAAAAGAAGACAGACATGAAGTAAACACTAAAGGGAACATCAGAAGAAGACAGACAGGAAGTCAACACTAAAGGGAACAGCAGAAGTAGACAGACAGGAAGTAAACACTAAAGGGAACAGCATAATAAGACAGACAGGAAGTAAACACTAAAGGGAACAGCAGAAGAACACAGACAGGAAGTAAACACTAAAGGGAACATCAGAAGAAGACAGACAGGAAGTAAACACTAAAGGGAACAGCAGAAGAAGACAGATAGGAAGTAAACACTAAAGGGAACAGCAGAAGAAGACAGACAGGAAGTAAACACTAAAGGGAACAGCAGAAGAAGAATGACAGACAGGAAGTAAACACTAAAGGGAACAGCAGAAGAAGACAGACAGGAATTAAACACTAAAGGAAACAGCAGAAGACCACAGACAGGAAGTAAACTCTATGGGAACACTGTATGGGCTCTGGCTGTGATTGAGACTGGTTCATGAGGACGAGCTAACCCTATATTATCCCTTAAGTGAAGATAACTCCATGTATATGTACATAGAAACGTTAAATATATCCTTACAAGTACAGAGCCAGAGGGAATAGAACTCTTTATCCTTGGTCACTCCACACATTCTTAACTTAACAAGTATATCATGCTTCATGTGTGTCCACCCACCAGTGATGTTGAGCATGGCCTCGTGGCTGTAGCGGGTGTTAGCTATGTTGGTGGCAACACAGCGGAACACTCCGGCATCCTGCTGCCTCACGCCTGACACCTGAAGAACACCCATGGGCAGGAGAGTGTATCTGTGTAGGGAGAGGTGGGCAGGCAGGTGAGGCGCAGGAAACACATTTGTATAGTTATGTATGTTTTGTACTTGAATACACTAATGTGGTGTAACACAATGTAACACACAGGACACCTGTTACAGCACGGTGTTGTCTTGATCTTGCTTTTTGTGTTCCCTGATTTAGTTGCACAACACTCTCTTTGTGTCATGTCTTGTTTCACTTTCTGTCTTGGTTGTTTCCTAGAGTTTCGTGATGGTTTGCCCCGCCCTAATTCGTATATATGTACTTTATGATACATGTTGACATGTTCAAAGATTGTAGGTTTAACACTAACCCCTGATAAATGATATGAATAAACAGACCATAATTACCAACCATGTCCTATCAAATTGGAGATAAAGGTTCCCACTATTTAATAAGGTTTGAAATCCTTCATGCACCATTCAATCTTAACCTTAAAAGTAGGGTTTTATTCCATATAATGTACAATAAAAGGTCTTAAACTTAACGTATCAGCGATTGTAATCTTGTAAATGTCTGTTCTTGTCTTTGTCCTAGTTGTATTTGAGTGAGTACAGTAGCAGTAGAAGCAGCAGCTGTCATTGTTCTACCTGTTGTCGGTGGTGTTGAGGGCCTCTCGGTCCCTCTCCCAGCTGATGTTGGCCTCAGGAACCCCGTTGATCTGACACTGGAAGCGAGCTACGCCTCCATCGTCCACAGACATGGACAGAGGGTGGGTGTGGAACTTGGGAAGAGCTGCAGGGCAAAACACACACACATCAGTCTAATGAGCCTGGATACTCTAGAAACATTGACAGGGCATACTATCAATTCAGATGGGTTGACCACTCGTCGTGATTACCCTTAGTTCTCCCATAAAAACTGTTTATATCTTTAGTATAATGTCCATAATGCAGGTTAACAGGGGAAACAGATTACATGTAACGAGAAGATGTAATCAGGATACAAATTTAGTTATCAGATTACTGTTACATTTTTCAAAAATAGAGATTGCTAGCAGGATTACAGCGTTTCAATACATTTTAAAAGGAAGATGGATATGTTATACATAGACTTCCTGAAGGAATGTTCTTTATGGTTTATATTTAGGCTACTTAAATTCTTCTTTCTTTTAAATACATGTATTTGTTAATGCAGTAGGTGGACACCAGGTGGATGTATTACATACAAATACAGTCTATGCTTTTGATGAATGTATTAAGCTTAAACAGCATGTGTAAAGTACATTTCCGATATGAAATATCTTGGTTTCTTCTTTTCTAAGGTTACATTGTCGCATAAAGCTAAAAACATCTATTTGTCCTTTTTTTATTATCTTGCATTCAATATTGAGGTTATCCAAAAGTAACTGAAAGTAATCAGGTTACATTACTTTATATTTTGATACATCTTTGGACATGTAACTAGTTACTGTAACGGATTACATTTTTAAAGTAACCCTCCCAACCCTGGTCTTATGTAGCTTAAGAGGATGAGTCAGAGCTCATGTAGCATTCTGCACAGTTTACAAGAATATGTTTTCTTCTACCCTGTGACCCTTCAGTACATAGAGAACCACACACACACACACACGCACGCACGCACACACACACACACACACACACACACACACACACACACACACACACACACACACACACACACACACACACACACACACACACACACACACACACACACACACACACACACACACACACACACACACACACACACACACACACACACACACACACACAAAAGGTTTCTAATGACCTGCTGGCCTTAATCAATAAGGTGTGTACAATAGAGGAGTGTTCTGCAAGTGAGACAGCAGCACCATGGCAACTCATTGCATTGAAGTAAGACCACCTCAAGATACCCATAATTCTCCAGGATTAACCATAAACCACACACAGTTTTATGGTGTGATTGAAGGGAGTGGGGGTAGGAAGCAAAAGGTTGTATGCAGTGCAGGTGTGTGTGTGTGTGTGTGTGTGTGTATGTGTGTGTGTGTGTGTGTGTGTGTGTGTGTGTGTGTGTGTGTGTGTGTGTGTGTGTGTGTGTGTGTGTGTGTGTGTGTGTGTGTGTGTTGAGCACATGTAGGCAAGTACAGTAATGTAGATCTACATGTGCTGGTCAGTGTAATTTATAGTTTTTTATAATGAGAGCTGGTATGTTTGCTGAGGGGTTTGTAACCAGGCGCCTGTTCCTCTGAAAATAAAGGATTAAAGAGCCTGGGGGGGCTTTGGTTTCTAAGTATGATGCAGAGGTGTGCACCATGTGAAGCATCATTTATCACGAGGACTATTGGATGTTTTGACAGGAAAAAGGCAACATGCGGCGACTATCTGTGGGACATCCCCCTTGCTTTAGGGTTCGGCCCGTGGTGAATGAAGGTATTTGTATATTAAAATACGTCAGGAATTTTCTTTTTGGTTATTTAATAAATACAATCTACCTCCTATCCTGCATCCATAAAACAAGAACCCTGAACAAAGCAAGGACGGTGTGATGTTCAAGTTAGTAGGACTAGAGAGTGACCAATGACTGTTACATCACTGTAGTGAAGGTCACTATTATGGGAAGATCCCTTTGGGCCATAGGCCAGGGAGGGGCTTGGGGGTACTTAAGCTCCCCCGAATAGCCATAGTGTCCCTACCATCACCCCCAAGAAAGCTCTGTGGTTTATTTATAACATTAACATTTATTAATCAGAGCATTTGTGCTGCAGGGGGATGCCCATAGAAACACATTTTGTATCCAGAGGTATGTAGGCTGGTTTGTGAACCTTATCTCTCCCTTCAGCTATGTATGTCACCTTGTGTTTAACACAGAGGGACATTGTAACAGGGTGTACTGTTACTGTTATTTACTCGTCCCTGTTGTGTGACTGTTTTTCCTTTTAGCCGCCTCTTCCTATTGTAAAGCGTCTTTGGGTTTCATGAAAGGCGCTATATAAATCTGATCATTATTATAACTGCGTAGCTGTGTGCTCGTGTATGTCAGTGGTGTTGCAGAACACATTTGGTTGTGGTGGACTGGACATTAGTGGGAAACCCTACATTTCAAAGCACCCTTGCTCACTGAAAACTCAAGCAACCCCACAGCACCAGCAGAGACTAGCTTTGTCCTTGCCAGTGGTGTGTCACTTTTGGACCAGTATCAGTAATGTGGTCACCTGGTGGCAGACTGGCTGCTTCGAAGTCTATTGTAAATGACTACTAAAACTCCAAAGACGTCCCGAGGAATGTGTACTGTGTCTGAGACAGAGACTATGAAGAAATACTGAAATAGGCACACCTATCCGGCAGTGGCTCAGTCAGTAGGGGCTTGGACTGTGAGAGGACGTGCGTGACTTTGGTCTCAGGAGGAAAGAAGTGAATTGTTTGTTTTGTGGATCGTTTTTGTTTCGTCAAACTTATAGTTGTGTTTTTTTTGTTCTGAGTGCCCCCCAAACAGCCTTGCTGGCTGGGGGTTTCCCCCGACCTGTGTGTATTTTCGATCGGATGGATAAACTGGCAAAGAAAACGGGAATGGATTTATTAACTGCGTCACGGATCACGGACATTGACACACTACAGCAGAGTGCGGAGAAGGACGGGTCATCTGTGAATGGAAAAGGAAAGGACAATGACAACGAAAATGCGAATGGACAAAATGAAAAAACAGGAGTAGGAAAGCAAAAGGAGGTGAGAGAGGAGTTTGAGTTGATTGTGGAGGAGGAGAAATATAAAAAGGAGCTGACAGTGGTGGTGGGAAAGCAGTGGTAACTGTTATGGATCTGCTAAAAGGAGTTAAGAAAGAATGTGGGATTGTGATGGGATGTCGGGTGAAAGGAAATGGGCTATATGAAGTGACAATGGCTGAAGAAAAAGGAAAAAATAAACTGTTGGATGGAATAAGAATCAATGGGGCTTTGGTGCGGGGCAGAGACTGCATGGCAAAAGAACTCACGGTGTCATTCCTAAATATACCTTCGTATATATTGGACACTACAATTAAAGGCAGATTGGCAATGTGGGGGGTTCTGCCTGTCTCGGCAATAAAGAGAAGAATGTGGCCCGGCACTGATGTGGTTGATGGGACGAGGTTTCTGAGAGTGGAATTCAATAAGGAAGTGCGGTCACTTCCGTACTCCACAAGGTTCGAGACTCTAGAGGGGCCGGAATACTTTAGGGTGATTCATGACAAGCAAGTACCGGTCTGCAAGATGTGCATAAGGCCAGGGCATTTATACAGAGAATGCCCTGAGTTTAAATGCTATAAATGTGCCAAGCAGGGACACTATGCCCGGGACTGTGTGACTCGGGAGAAGGGGGCGAGCGGAGCCAGGGGGAGAGAAAGTGCCCAGGCAGAAAACACAGTGGAGAATGGAATGGAGGAAGAGGAGGGTGGAAGTCAGGAAGAGAGTGAAGAAGAGGATATACGTGATAAGGCTGGGAGCAGGATAAACGGGGAAGCTGTGGCTGCTTTCGCGGCGGTGTTTGTGGCGGCTGCTGCAAAGAGAGAAGCTGACGCGGCTGCCATGGATGGTGGAGGAGACGGAAGGAGGAAGAAGGGGAAAGCAGACGAAGGAAAGATGTGTAGTAGCAGAGCCAATACTGCTGCTGTTCCGGCTGCTGCGGATGATGGACAGAATGCGAGGAGTGGTGAAGGTTTGGCTGAGACTGAAGTAGAGGCTGTGGTGGATGTAATTCTGGGGGCAGAAACTGATACCGAGGCTGAAGCGGACGTTGAAGTTGAACCTGATCCTGAGGCTGGAGGAGGAGCTGTCGGTGGGAGGAGAGGAGGAGAAGGAGGAGAAGGAGAAGGAGGAGAAGGAGAAGGAGGTGGAGGACAGACGGCTGAGGGAATGGAGGTCAGCTCGGTTGTGTCGGACATGGAGGAGGGAGGGGACGACGAGGAGAACGAGTATGAGGACGAGGAGGTGGAGATGAAAGGACCCATAGAGGAGAAGATCTTTGGCGAGGCGAATGCTGGGTTAAAGAGCAGAGGAATGAGGAGAGAATCCAGCAGGCTAAATGCAAAGAGGAAAGCCGATAAGGAGAAAGCGGTGGAGAGAAGACGGGTGAAAGTGACAGGAAGAGTTGCAAAGTGTCCGGACAAAAAATAAATAGAATGAAAACAATAATAACCTTAATAACACTTGTAATGGTGACAATTTCCTCTTTCAATGGAAATGGGCTGAGGTCCAAGGACAGGAGAGATCAGGCCTTAATGATATGTGACTCAGACATTATTTGCTTGCAAGAGACACATTGGGATGAAAGGTGTGTGGAGGATGTAAGGGAAGAATGGATGGGAGAAATGTATGTAAATAATGGGAGTGTGGGTGCTAGAGGGGTGGTTAAAAGGGGATGTGATTAGAAGACCTGCATCAGAAAAAGTGTGGATGAGTGTTGTGAATGGTATGACTGGCAGGAGAATGTGAAAATTAAGTGGAACAGTATTGAACGTGAGCACTTTGATTTTGTGTTGAGGCATAATAGGGTGTTTAACAACCTGATCATTAGCCATTTTGATGCAACTGTTGAGAGAGAGTGTGATGTGTGTAGGGATCAGGTTGAAACGTGTTTGCATGAGTTTGTTGAATGTAAAGAGCTTGTTGTTTTTTTTGGAAGGATGAAAGAGTTAATTGGTAGATGTTGGAATGAATGGTATGTGAGAGAAATGGAATGGAAGGAGCTGTGGCTGTTTGGTGTGATTGAGAAGAAGGATGAATGCAATGTGAATCTTTTAAATTATGTTCTGAGCCATGCAAGGCGTACCGTCCAAATAAGGAGGAACATTGCCCATTTCGAGGGTAAAATGTCAGAGGTGTGGCATATAATGAAGAGGACAGTAAAAAGGGACATTAACCTTGTGCTAATACATGTGGAAAAGGACACATTTTGCGAGGATTTTGTGGATGGCAGCAGGCTAGTTGAGCTGGATGAGGAGGGAGCATTGTGCTTCAACTTTGAACGGAAAACTTAAGGCACACTACCTTTAAGCTAGTGGTATGAAATATTGAATGTGTGTATTATGAGCAATGCTTTATGTAGTTGTGATGAGATGTTAAATGTCTATTTTCGATAATAAAAGATAAAACATTTTTTTTTTTAAAAAGTAAGGGCTTGGACTGGGAGCTTTAGGGTCGCCGGTTCAAGTCCCCGACCAGACCTAAACAAATATGGAGTGTGGACTACTATTTGGAGAGGTCCCAGTTCACCTCCTGCCCTGCCGTGGTGCCCTTGAGCAAGGCACCGGACAACCCCCTTCCCCCATTGATCCCCGCTGTACACCAGCTGCCCACTGCTCCTAGTGCTAGACTCCTGGTGCTAGGATGGGTTAAATGCAGAGGCCAAATGTCACTGTGTGCTCTGCATGTGTGACCATTAAAGAGGGTTTCATCCCTCCATATTCTTCTATGTGCGTATTAACCAGAAAATAATGTGTAAACCGGCTAAATGTAGCTGCCTTTTTGTTGTGTCTCGTCAAATGTGTTGGTTATGTTTATGTATTTTGTCTGTCATTTCCTGTTTTATTTTGTACTTACCTCTTGTCTTTCATTTCAGACCCTGTTTCTTCCTCCCCTTGTTTGTTTTTCCCGCCATCATCAGTGTCTGCCCCGCCCCTGATTGTTTCCACCTGTTCCCACTCACCTCATGTTTAAATAGTCCTGTCTCTCCCCTGTCCTGTGTCAGTTCGTCTTGTTTGTTTCCTCGAATGTTTGTTTCTCTCGTGTCAGGTTTTGTTATTTTCTTTATTTTGTTGGCTTAATTTTTTATTAAGTCCTCTTTTTGTTATGCTAGTTTTTTCCTCCTTGTGAGCACTTTTTGTTATTTCCACCACCTACTCTGTTAAGAGGGATTACCTGAACTGTGATAATAAATATACTTTTTATTATATTCAAGACTTTGTCTCTGGGTCGTGCATTTGGGTTCATCAGTCGAGGTCCTGACACTTTTCTTCTCAGGTTCTCTTCATTTAATAGCTAGCCTGGGAATGTGATTTGAATGGTTACTGTCATTGCAACAACATTGCAAAAAACAATCGCTGGTCAAGAACATGTTGTGTAAAATGAAATATTAATTGTATGACATCTAAATTCAGAATGTAACATTCACTTGCTGGGTTGCAGCATCAAACACTTACATGCCAAGTGGACCTTGGCCTTGCGGCTGACGATCATGCCGTAGCGGTTCTGAGCGGCGCACTCGTACTCGCCCATGTCCGCGTCGCTTCCCTCTCTGCGTTTCTGGAAGCTCTGGATGAACAGCGTGCCATTGGCCAGCACCTGGACCCGCTGGCTGGCGGGGAAAGGAACCCCGTTTTTTCGCCACGTCACCATGATGGGCTCCTCGCCCGTCACCCCACAGTCCAGCAGGAGCAGGCGGTCCCTCACTGCGATCACATCGCTGGGCTCCAGCAGGAAGGACAGCTCTGAGGCCAGACACACATCTGAGGGGGGGAGAAGAATCATCAGAGAGGGAGACACTGAATGATACATGTCTGCTTACTTGACCATCCAGAGTCCAGAATCCAGAGTAATATTCAAACCCACAAATGTAATCAGGCTCATACTCCCTTTAAACCTTCCGGAACATTAGGGAAGTGAAGGAAGGCGCATTAAAGACCAAGACCTTCGTCTCTTAGAATTGAAAAACATTTGGAAATTGAAACGTTGACTTGTATTATTGTATTATTTCAACAGATTACTTTAATATTAGGGTAGTTGATAGCAATAATATTAAGTTGAACCACTTTGTAATACAATTATGTGTAATCTGTTGACATTATACATTTAATTAAAGTTAATATTTCAGTTTTTTCAGTGTATCTTGAGATCACTAACAGTATAACCTATTTGTCCTACAAACACACACAACTATACAACACACGTGTTGCTAGCTAGTTTAAAACGTTGCTAATGTATGTACTGTAGATGTTGTCATGGATCAACTTTAGTTCACTTAAAGTATAAATAGACCCAGGAGTCTCTGCATACTTGCAGTAACACAGCATTAAGCTCTACACTTGTTGCATTGGCTGTTTTTTGCAAATAAATCTGAACTGCACAAACTTGTTGAATCCACAGCTGAAGAAACCAGTCTTTGAGAACAGTATAACTTTCTGCTCTAACACAGAATGAGTTGTTCCTGGAACAGAATCTTCTAACTGCGGGACGGATTTGTTTAAAGGCGTTGGGAGGATTTGGTCGCTAATGGGATATTGTACCTATCTTTCATCCCAAACGCACAATCATCTTATGGTTCCAGAGACAATAGCACAAGAGGGGGCTTCTCTGTCGGACACCGAGCCCCAGAGAAACCCATCCAAACGGCTTGAAAACCCTCACTCTACATCGGGAGCGATCTCACTGATTGATAGTGCACTTGGTTTTGCGGCCTGAACTGCTTTAGGAAAGGCGAGCCACAATAGAGGCTGGATGCCAGAGAGCCAACCAGCCAGAGAGGGCAACAACAATACCCGAGCGGGGGGAGAACACTGGCCAGGGTCAAGTTAGGAGACCCTTATTGAAGCGGGGCCGAGTGTGACAATAGTGTTGTGACTATGCTGATTTGCACCTCTCCCACAGCAACCTCTGTAACAACTCCAGTCAGCCACCATGCACCCAAGGGCACCATCTGCCCCTTCTAATGCATCCCTCCACCCCCCGCCTCTCCCATCCTTTCAGATCCATCTCCGAGGTGACTTTCCCATGCCACCAGAGCCCTCTGCCTCACCCTTGTCCCCTCCCCTGTGTGACCTTGGTGACATTTGCAGTCTACGTCTTTTTTGGTGGTAATGTCCTCATATGCAAAGCGAGCCCTTGATAAAGCCGCTTTCCTTCCCAGCTGTAAGGCATTGACAATGGCCGTTGCACTTGAACCTGCACAACTCCTAATCAATGTCACTCTGCAGTTCTGCATCTGTTTATCCCCGGCCGGTCCACTCAACATGAGCTGTCTCACACACAGACTTGCAGCTGAACTTGGCCCCTGCGTGTCTGTTTCTAGTGACAGTCCTTTTCACTCTGAAGGCTTTTTGCTGATACAATGAACAAATCAGTACACATTTCTTTTATCATTGATTTTAAATCTTTCTTCAAAACTAAAAAAATAACGAGTCTCACTTAGTTTAGTGGTGAAAATGCAGATACCAGTTTGAAAAAAGCAGCAGAAAACTCTGTCTCTGGGATTTCAACCTCTACACCAACACAACAGGCTTTACAATGAGATATTACACAACATATTTCAACAGAACATGACTTTCCAGAGTCCTGTCACTGATTAGAAAAGGCAGTATCAAGGACACTGATTCTAGAAACAGATGCCACTGTTACGTTTTTTTAAATGTTGTGTTTCAATGGTATCTCCAAACTTGGACAAGTTGGACCAAAACATGTTCCATAAATAAAGACATCTTAAATGCCAGAGTGTGAGGAAAATATGACTTTTTGTTCTTTGTTAGAACTGCTAAAATATCTTCCACATTAGCTACATTTAACATAACCTCTTCCTGTTGGCTAAACACAAGGAGGGGTATGGACTGATGTGACATACCATTACCACAAAGTCACACATTTTAACATGACATTGTTGTATGCCTTTTCACTTATAAAACACAGCCTTCCACACATATTGGACATACAGCAGAACTGCCCCCCCCCCCTTCATGATCTTTGCCATCGTCCTGACATTTAGATTTGAGCATCTGCCTTATTCCCAATGAGAGATCTTCCACCAGCAGATGCAGCCAGCAGCAGAGAGGATGCTGGTTCTGGGCTGATATAATCCTCCCCCCCCCCCCTCCCCCTGAGCCTCCCATCCCTCAGGCCTGGTAATGACGTTCAGGACTCCCAAGGGGGAACCTGCTTTGCGTTCTGTGGCCACGGTTATTGGAAACAGGGTGTTGCAACCTGTGAGGCCGAGCAGAGCCTAGTATTTAAACAAGGTTATGTCATAGTCGACTATTTAAAGGCATTGCTCTATAAAATTAAGATGACCATTTAATATCTGTCTCTGTTTTCTTCTTATCGATCAACCCCCATTCTACAAGTCAGTCGCAGGTTGAGAACTCACTGCAGGATGAACTGCTTGATTATAACGTTTATATTGCTTGTTGTTTAGATATTGTCTTGTAAAAGAAATCACAACTCAAGATGTGCTACACTGAAACAACTTGAACATTGACTTTAATTCAATGTTTTACGTCCATTAAGTTGAACTTAATAATATTGCTTTCAACTATCCTAATACATTCATGTGAAATTTGTTGACATAAAACATTTAATTAAAGTCAACGGTTCAGTTTTTTCAGTGTATCAGAGAAATCCAAGACATGAAGCAACATACTGTAAGGATGTATAACCATTTGCATATATGAAGGGTGTTAGAAAACAACCTTGAGGCACTTCAGACTAGTTAAATGTTGCCTTTTCTAGTTCCCACAAGCTGACTCTATGAGGTGGATTAGGAGCACAGCGTTGAGAGTGCACTATTTTCAATATAGATGGCTGGTTCCATAATGAGATTTATTTAAGTGTGGGGGATGATCAGCAACCCCCACACTTGCACCCTGTGTTTGGAACCCCCCTCCCCCTCTGGGGTCATGAGTCAGAGGTGAGGAGGATGGATTTGCAGATGAGGGTGGGGGGGGTGGCAGTCTGTGTCCAGCCTGAGCGACTCTCTCAGCCTCCACTGCTATTGTTCAGCTGGAATGAAGTTCACAGATCTCTGCCCCCCCCCCCCCCCCCAATGACAAGAGACAGAGAAAGTGAAGGGAGTCCTGAGATCCTTGCACTCATTTATTTTCCTCTGCCCGCTCTCTCCCTCGCTTTCAAGGCACATTTGGAGGGCTAAATAGATTTGAGCTAGGAATGACAAGAATGGAAATAAGAAATATGAAGTTAAGGATGATTAGTGGTTTAAAAGTTGGGTTGGACTTGCAGCTTCATATTGAATGGTTTCAATCTTGAGACATACCATTAACATGTTTGATTCATGAGTTTAATATGAACAAATCAGAGAAGATTAAACATGAAAACAATATATATATTTTGTAATATTTCCCTTTGTTATTTCCCCTTGCCCCTGTGTTTCTATATTATATCTGTTTTACAAGAGGATGCAGTTCAACAGTGAATGTGAAGATGGGAAAATGTAGGCAGGGCCAGCTGTGATCTGGCCTTGATCTTCATCCTTTGTCCTCCTCATGGGAGTGAAACTCTCAAACTATTGTAGTGGCTTAGGGTTAGGCTGTAGCGGGCTTACCCAGGCCTTTTGGTCATTTTGTCATATGCCAAGTTCAATGTCTAAACGCTATCTCGCTAGCTTATTTCTGTGTCTGAAATTGCAGTTTTAAATAGATTACAGACATAGGCATTAGGACAGCTTGAACTATTCATTTACTTTTTCAACAACTCAACGAAACTACTGTGGAGAAAATTGGTTTCCAAATAGTAGGGGTAGTCTTTTTATATTTTCAGTGTTAAATGACCTACATTTTGGTGTAAAAACCTTATTTGAAACCTTCTTCCTGAAAAACCTTTTTTATACCCGTTGAACAAACGGAGTCAAAACTGCAGTTTGTTAAGTGGCTACTTAATGTTGGCTCCAAAAGCTAAAGAAATTGCAGCCACCATGCACCCAAGGGCAGCAAAGAATTGTGGGAGAGCACAGGGTAACAGATGTTTACAGTGTATCTCATGCTGAGGGAGATGAGAAGGGAAGCATTGAATTATCGCTCCCTAGCATTTAGCTTCCAAGCCCTACTCGAAGCGTTTTCTCAGAACTTAACTTTATTTTGTAATTAGCTCTACGGTGAAACATACCAGATTTATATCATAAAATATGAAGAGTGGCAGTGTAAATTATTTTAATAATATAATGCTAATGCAGTTTGAAATCAGTCTTCCAACAGCAACTTCTCAATCTCAGTTTCCTGACCTATTGATGACTGGTAACCTGCATAAACTGATATTGGCCCCATGGGGCCCTGGGATAGGGGTGCCCCATCTGCATTTGGGGATTGATTTAGTAATGGTCAGTGCAGAATTAAAAAGCCTGGCCAAAAACATGCTACCCACCAGCCTGGTGGATCAATACGCATCTATCTGATGTGATTGAGAGGAGGCTTCTGTTTTTCCTGCAGTTTTAATCAGTGAGGTGTCACTCACACAGGGGGGGTGGGATCATTTATTGGGGAATAAGTTGTAAGGTCTTAGTGTCCTGGTAGGACACTAAAGGCCGCTACACACCAACCTGAGACCAAAGAACGCGTACCGAAGGCGTCCCGACTTTAAAGGAGAGGTGTCATGGCCATTTCCACCGATCATAATTCCATTGTTGAGGTCTACTAAAATAGAAAAATACTGTGCAATTTTCCAAACTCACATTGGTTTCGCATACAGCATCTCTGTAAAGTATGTGTATTCAGCAGTATTCACTCTCTCCACT